AACGCGACTGTATTTTGTGACGTATCTACGGACGTGGCCCGGCCGTTTATCACCAAGCCATTTCGTAGAGTAGTGTTCGACTCGATGCATGGTCTTTCGCATCCCGGAATTAACGCCACAGTCAAACTCCTTACGCAACGCTTCGTCTGGCCGTCAATAAAGCGTGATAGCAGACAATGGGCACGTTGCTGCGTCGAATGTCAACGCGCAAAAGTAACACGACACGTGACTTCTCCGACAGGTTCATTTCAACCTTCGTCAACGAGATTTGAACATATCCACGTGGATATCGTTGTGATGCCGCCATCCGAGGGCTACCGCTACTGCTTAACCTGCGTAGACCGTTTCACCAGGTGGCCAGAAGCAATCCCGCTAGAGAACCAGGAGGCAGAAACTGTAGCTCGCGCCTTATATGCGAATTGGATATGCAGATTTGGATCACCCCTGCGAATAACAACGGATCAGGGTCGACAGTTCGAATCGCACCTATTCAAACGCCTGAATAGTTTACTAGGTACGACTCATCTCCGAACCACCGCATATCACCCAGCAGCAAATGGCATGGTAGAGCGTTTTCACCGCCAATTAAAAGCAGCAATAAAATGCCACCAAAACGATCGATGGACTAGCATTCTTCCCACTGTGCTATTGGGAATACGTGCAGCATGGAAAGAAGACATTCAAGCTACCGCGGCCGAGATGGTGTACGGACAACATCTACGCCTACCCGGAGAATTTCTTCATTCCCGCAGGACAAACGACGAGCTCAGCACCGAAGCGAATTTTGTTAAGGACCTCAGACGTCATATGGAAAGCTTACGTCCAGCCGCAGTTAAACGCCATGGCGAGAAGACGCCATTCGTTTTTAAAGACTTGGCAACAGCGACACATGTTTTTGTGCGTGCGGACTGCGTTAAAACTCAACTACAGAACACATATGATGGTCCGTTTACAGTGATTAAACGCGACGACAAAACATTCATAGTGCTAGTGCGTGGTCGCGAAGTTAAAGTGTCCATAAACAGAGTCAAATCGGCGTATTGTTTGAATGATGCGACATATTCCAGGAACGAGAACAATAGCCTTCCATCAACTTCTGCCCCATTATCCGTGCCAACCACACCCAAGGCAATTACCACTAGGTCCGGTAGAAAGGTCCGTTTCCCTGACCGACTGCAAGTTCCGTGATGGCATCCATACTGGCAGGAGGGTGTGTGGGTACACACGTTCGCAAGTGACCCATTTTTAAGCACAACGTCAAGAACGCCGCCGAACGCACCACGGGGTTCCCGGAAGCCGACCCCTGCAGAGTGGCACCAGGACCAGGGACTTCTGCCACCTACTACCAAGCTACCTAGGACCGACTTCAACCACAGGACACTCTCCAGCAAACCCTCAAACCGTCAACATTATTTTTTCTACCCAAGCTTAGTTTTCAATAAAAATAGCTTATTTGTACCGTTGAGAGAGCGTTTTATTCTTGCTGTACAGCGAAAGCAACCCTCACGGGGTCAAAAATATACGGTTGAATTGCTCACTCAAAACCCTGCAACTTTTGTCCTAATCATTTTTTTGTTTGAGCAGTATTTTCTGAGATAGAGAGGGGATTCTAAACTTTTTGAACACCCGGTATGTATAATGTTCTTTTTTTTGTTTTAATATAATTCAGCGGCTGTACGCTGTCGCCCTCTGATGGGTATGAGTAAATAAACTCAGTTTAAAGTCACAAAAATTTGTTTATATGTGTTTTTTTTTGTGGAGAAAAATGTACCAATATAATGGATGAAGGAAATCAAAGCGAAGGTATGTGAACAGTTTATTAGAATTTCGTCACGGGAATCAGTGTCTATATTTTCCATTCATTTAATCGGTGTTGGTCGGTGACATTCAGAATTTCCAGAGCTCTACAAAAAAAACGTAACTTCTGTTTTCTACCGATCGCATTGATTGTTTCTTTTTTTTTCGGTTAATGTCCTCTTAGTAGTCATCCAAGTAAAACCCATTCGTGAAGCGGAACTTCTACACCTAAGAATTTTTTTAGTATGTATGCAATTTTGTTAAATCAACCTATATATGAAAAAATACCACTCGTGTAGTTCTGTTTGTTCTTCAACAGGAACTAGGTAGGTACAGTTTTTTAATTTTATTTAATATACCAAGGAAATCCAAAGTAAATCTGAACACGGTTGATATACAGAAATAATATATGACAATATTATACAAGTGGGAACCTATACTCCGCGGTCGAAATTATAGAGAGTGACTCAGACATAATATAAAAACACTATTACCATAATGCGTATAAAATATAAAATTATTTTTTTACGGTTCAATATTATTTATCTTTGTGCCGCTCGCTTCGCATATCGATATAATCTATAATCGTCTAGAGACCGAGTTACACTGAACGTCGATCTATATTCTATCTCTGTCTTTTGCACTTGGTAGGGAATAGGGAAATGCTTTTTTAGTTGGGTGTAAACGGACTTGATTTACCCGTCCTGAGAAACGTCATAGCATAAGCGTAGACGAGGGGTCTAATTCCATGGCTATAATAAATTTATAAATTAAAAAAACACAACTGGGACGTTTTAAAATGCTGTAATAATTAAAATTGATCATAGTGCCGGTTATAGCAAACCTTAAAAAATATTAGATGTTATGTTTTATTACCTTTTTTCAATATTTTCTATATCTCGTTGCCTTTTACGCAGACACGCCAATGGATTTTTGTTCCCTGCACACTTCATCCCTCTTACTAGTCCAAAAGTGAGTCACTCTCTATAATTTCGACCGCGGAGTATAGAACAGAAAATAAAAAATGCATGTGCGAACAGCGCCAACTACAACAAGCAAATTTGGCATTTGTATTCGTCACGTGACTTGTAGGCGCCTAGGAGTTTCTAACTACTATTCACACTGTTCATAGTGTTTGTATAAAAGATGAGCAAATATATAAATAACTATACTTCGTTCCATATTATGACTACGTGGGCTAGAGCTTTGCTTTAAAAATTTGTAAACAGCAATACATAATAATTTCAAACTATAAGTTCCTTTCATGTAACCCCTACCTTAAATTTTAAATAGAAAGATAGGCGAATGATTCTTATTTGAAAGGTGTTTTCAACCTACAGACAACACGTTTTCTTTTTAACAATTCTTAGATTAATTTCCGAAAATTTTTTCTGTTAAAGTGAAGTACGACGAAATACGATTTATCTGTTGGTGATTGAATAACACTCTGTCATGAAGTCTTCAGCATATACAGGGTTTAAGAAGTTTGACTGCCATTGCTTCAGTATGAGATAGAGTAATCATAAATGAACAAAAAAGTTGTATATTACAGGGGCGTAAAATTAACACTTTTCAAAATACAGCGACTATTAAGATTGAGGAGTTTCATCACAACGTGACAATAGCGCTTAACCTAACGCTACACAGCTGGAGCATACCACGTGTGCACGCGGCAGACTTGTCCTACGGAAAAAATGTAAACAGTTATTATTGGGAAACATTTAATAAATTTCAAGACAATTGTTTTCCAGTTTTTAAATAAATAAAATAAAATGTATCGATTTTGTACAAATTACGACATATGCTCAAAATGTTCACCACCATTTTCGATGCACGCACGACACCTTCGAATCTAATTTTCGCTCACTCGGACACGGTCCAATTCCAGATACCAAGTGAATTGCGTATTGCTTGACAGATTAATACCTCGTGTTATCTGCCGCGCCGTTGTCACATTTCTCGATATGAATTTTATCAAATTTTAAATTTATTACAACGCTAATTATTTTTTAGAATTAAGCATAAAAAAGTTAAAAAAGTGATAAACATTGTATTTTATGGTATTCTATGCACGCAGTTATGTCAATATTCCTTAATTAATCGAACTGTTGTACCTCAAGTTGGAGGTTTTGATAATTTTTTTCTCGGAAATGGTTGAGTTTAGGGCCCATGTCATATAAGGTTTTTTTGTTTATTTTAATGTATTCTATCGTCTGTTAAAATTAAAGCAGTCGAACTTCTAACACCCTGTAGTGGCGTTTGGTTTTATAGGAATATCTCCGAAATTTCTTTCTGCATATACCTCCCTAAGAAATGATTGACTTTTGTTTACATTTATGTGTACGAACGAGACGTTTGTTTCCTTTTTTAGGCTTGATTTAGCTATTTCAACAAGCACTTCTTTGAAAAATGAGAGTACGCCTTCTCTAGGCAATTAATATAACTTGAATACCTTATACGTTTCCCCTCTTTGTTTAAAATAGTTTAATAGGAACATTTAGAAAGCTTCTGACATGATTGTGACAAAGGGTTTCAAAGTCTAGATAAAGAATATATCCCTGTTTTTCTATATTTTTTACTTTTACTCTACATAACTAGTTTGTTTCTATTTTAGAACAGAGCGAAACACTTCTCTGAACTGTGGCATTATTTGTACATATTCTGTACTTTATTGTAGGTTGTGGCAATGAGATAACATATGATAGTTTAATTTCGAAATTTGAAACAACAAAAACACAAAAATATTGATAAGACACAGACAAAAATAGAAGCTGATAAGTTAAACTTGGTTCAACTTCTGGCAAACATAATCGGGAAAAATCATTTTTGAAGTTGACCAATTAGGGTTTCCAAAAATAAATAAGTCCCCAAAAAAAGCTACCTTAACTTTTACTTGCTGTTTGCAATGAAAATGTCTCATGGATAAGTAAAGCCAGGATCTGCATCCAAAAAAATTTTGACTATTGTAGTAATGGAAGGACCGAGCTCTACAATTTTTAAATCTCGGATATAGTTTAAGAGAAACATCATCATGAGGTTACTGATACCAAATAAAAAATAAAATAAATACTAATAACTGCTTAAAAGGCTACCTTGTTAAAACCATCACAGTGATTGTATTTCCTGCTACTCCGATAACTACAGTGATAGGCACTAAAACCCTCTGTATCCAAAATCTTGAAGCTTGTAGAATAAGCTCTGTGTTGGGATCTCTCGTATCGTTCATCTTAGACCTGCAAGTTAATATACATTAATCTGTGATGAGATTATCGAACTATAATTTATTTAGTGATTCAAAGAAATATATCCACCTCGAATATTTCGAGAACCACGAATTTTCCATAGAAACAGTAATATGTCAATTTGATTACGAAGTGGACATACAGAATCCGGCAAAATGCATTATCCATTTTGCAGGGCTTACAAAAATTTACTAATTTAACTGCAACAGAGATAAATACATTGTTACTTTATTGTATAGGTGTTTCAAACAAGTTCAAAATTTTTTTCTAAACAAATCTTATCAAATAATCGATACCAGAAATCTTGGTATGTAAAAGCTATTTTACTCCACAAACAAGATTCCTACCTGCTGGCAAAAAAGTTTTTGTCCAGGATAATTGTTAAAACAACAAATATACAAGATATTCCTTTGAGTAATTGCACACAGTGAGAACACTTATAACAGATCGAGATAGATCTCTGTAATTGTAAGATAGTAGCCTATCCAACTCTGCTCAGGATGTTTCACTTACAAAATCATTGCATATTACAAGGAAATACACTTCACTGCCATACCGTGTATATATTTTTTACAGATGCCAACTGCATCTTACATGAGGGAAAAACTTCTTTGAACATCTGAAATTAGATTTTGTTTTTTTATTCGCAGTATAACCTTAGTACGTATGTTTGTCAGCATCTGTTGATCCGAATTTCAACAACGCAGCTCAATTGAAAAGACAACCTTTAAAATAATGATCACTTCCCACCTGTTGCTCCCCCTCTCAAACAAAAATGACCTGATGCCGTGATTCTGTGAGTTTGTACTTGATAAAACATTAGAAAAAATCGATTAGAAACATTTCCTTGAATCGGCCAATATAATTTGATTTCTTAAACAAACCGTACATGTACAGTTTCAGTGGTTGTACTTTATGACGTAACATTTGCGCTTTACGTTTAAATGTTAAAAGCATATTGTTTGCCAATTGTACTAAAATGAGTATGACGGCATTCAAACGTCTTTGAAACTAAGCCAAATTAAAAGGTGCTTAGCCGCTAAAATTGAGGATAAGCTTAAAAACTCAATTATCAATTAAAAATGTATTTAGAAAAGTCAGATTAAGTTATCAAAATTTAATATAATAATTCAGATATACTTACAAAACTATGTTAGTAATTCTACAATTCAGTTACAAGTATCAACCCTTTTGCTAAAACGTAGTTTCTACGCCCAAGCATTCCTGATATATGTCTTTAAAATTTTAGTGGTCTCTTAGTATTTCGAGTTAATTGCACAGTCCCACAAAAATAGTTCTGTACCGGAGACATGAGTACATAGATTTTGTGTATTTTTTTATGCTGAATCCGATTTCACAGCCCAAAAACCGATTTATCAGGTCAGTTTTTAAGGTCGTACCTCAAAATAATGGGCACTGATTTCATCTTTAATCCGGCTCACCATTTTTAACAGTCAGCACAAAGAGAAGTAGAAGCCGTTTGTAAATTCTTCGTATAAAATTCTGTGTGCCGCATTCTCCCGCAGCAGTCGATATTGCACAGTTTTAGGAATTCTTCTGCTGCAGCAAATTTAAGACTTTCATTGGTGTTTGGTGTGTGGCGTCAATTGGGTTGGGTTCATTCGAATCCGGGTAATTCTGTCGGAATAGGCAAACAGGCGCACACGCGGGAGAAGTCCGACAATATATTTCCGTTAATGCAATCGTTATTGTAATTAATTTATTAGTTTGTGTTCTTAAAAATGGAGAGTAATTCAAGCTCTACGCGTGTTCTCATAATGCTAAGCGCCCTCATCTAACAAGGCAGGAAAATCAGATGATAAAAAACTTGTATGAAGGGCTCTGTGCAAAACCGTACTTATCTTATCAACTTCCACGTCACCTGTTACATGAGTGTTGCACAATAATGAAAAAGTAATATTAACGGTTGGTAGAAGGAAGCACAAAAAACAAGCGCTTAGGTAGGGAATTCTGGAAGGAAGCCTAGTTAGTTGAAGATAGGCAGTTGAAGTGAGAACAGTGTGCAGATAGGTAGCAAGACGATCGGCGGGCAGTGTGACAAGTAGTGTAAAATTAAGTGTTTAACCGGTATTAGTTAGCAGGTAATATTCTTTAAGTACTTTGTTGTTAATTGTTCTATGTAATCTTATGATTGTGATGGTTATAGATGTTTCATGATAATAATTCTTTGTATGTTTAGCTTCCATTGCTTTATGCTCAAGGGCATATATTTTTCTAAGGTAAAATTGTTATAATTATTATTAACGATTGCTCATTATTTATTTCATGTTAAAATATATATATTGTGTGGGCGCCCAGACATTACAATAATGACTCCTTTGTTTCACATCTAACTTGTTTTTGTCATGATTACGTTGTTCGTAAAATATAGATGTTTCATGATAATAATTCTGTATATGTTTAGCCTTCATTGTCTTACGCTCAGGGGCGTATATTTTTCTAATATAAAATTGTTACAATTATTATTAAAGATTGCTCATTATTTATTACATGTTAAAATATGTATATTGTCGTGACTGCCCAGATATTGCATTAACGACTTCTTTGTTTCACATTTAACTTGTTTTATCATGATTAGGTTGTTCTTTGATTTCTTGTGCTCACTTTATGTCATACGTCTATACGAGCCTTGTTGAATTTACTAACATTTTCGCCCGTGCGGAACGAATCTGGATTAAGCTCGATTGCCTCCCGTATGGGACTCCAGTGTTATGAAGGATCTTCCGAAATCTCAACTATAGCTGGATTGCCTCCCGTATGGGACTCCAGTACCTTCCGGCTCTGCCGGCTAACTAACACCAAACCTCTTCAGTTTTACTTGGAAGTGTGTATGACTAATATGAGGTAACAGATGACATTTAGTGACACATTAAATGAGACAGGTCTTATTTATCATTAGCAAAGGTTCTTAATTTATACCTTTGGTTAGCGGTTGTTTTGTATTTATATTTGGGTGGTAAGAGCAACGATCGTGGGTTTCTCTGCCATGCTCTTTCCCCGCAGGAGCTCTAGGTGAGCCTGGCACTCTCCTTTTATGTTTAATGGTTGTTTTTGTTGTACTTTCTATTTGTCACATGTTTAATTTGAATTGTATGTAAATAAAGTTAGGTGTATTTACTCTGCTTTTGTTTTATAAAGTTAAACCATACATCCCCTCAAAAAAAGTTAGTAGCCAGGTCTTCCGGTCAATTAAAAAAATAGATACACACAACGTAGGTAGTCCTTATGACGATCACATGTTTTTAGCCACAACTACGATATATTGTTTTTTATCGAACCTAGGGTTGTTATACTACAACAACCGCTCATGGAGCGAAACCAAAATATGAGTGTAAGTGGTGCAATTGAAATGTGCAATTTATTGCAATAAGGAGTGGTAAAAAAGGCTCGACTACGAAACGGAAAAGGGTAGGAACTCTCGGAAGGAAAAAGATGGATGTTGATGACGACACCAAATATGCGATTCGCAGAACAATTGATGGATGGTAATTTTAAAAAAGAACTTCCGACAATAAACAAAAATCAGGCTGCTATCTCACAGGATCTGATAGGGCGAAGACAAGTATTAGAAGCGAAAACTAAATCGTAGAATATATTACACGGACGAAACATGGGTAAATGAAGGTCATATGGTGACAAAAGTGGGGTAAGATGGTAATACCCAAAGCAAACGGCAGGCATTTTTAGAAGGATTTTCGACTGGATTAAAGTCACATTCTGGAAAAAGGCGGCGCATATTGGAAGTACAGCAGGATTTTTGGAACAGGGTTTATTTGTTTTTGAATAGGAGCCTATTTTGAGGATATGAATAGTATTTGAAAATTGGTTTGAATCTGTTTTGTCACATATGGAACCTGGTGTTGTAATTGTAATGGATAATGCACCCTATCATAGTCGACAATTAGAAAAGTTGCCAGCATTAGACTGGTTATAACCGAAAAAGATCGAATTCGACGAAACAATGCTTAAATCCGAATTACTAAAATCACGGACAGACAAAAAGACCAAGTTTGTAATGGATGAAATGGGTGCAACTTATGGTACTTTGCTTGTCACCCTACCACTGTGAACTAAATCCCATTGAGTTAATCTGGGCCCAGATAAAAAATGGAGTAGCACGAAAGAATACATTTAATTTCAGGATGTACAATTACTCTTGCACGAAGAGATTAATCTGATTACAGCAGAAACATGGGGTAAATGCATTAAGCATGTCCAGAAAGAGGAATATCGCATGTGGGATCTCGACACCAAGTTGATGTATTGGTTGATCCACCGATAATACCCCTTGGAGATGACGCAGCTCTAGTGATGAAGACGAGAGTTCTAGTGATGACAGTGATAGTAATAGAGCTAGTGACCAGTAACGTATCTATATATGTGCTTAGTGCAGTGTATAGTACAACGATTAATAAGTGTAGTGTATTGTACAATAAGTGTTTATGTATACATATATGACCATTATAGTGAAGTGATAGTAGGAAGTAGTGTATAGGTATTATGTATTTATAGATAAAGTGTGATATCCGCGGCATGCGCATCAGGTAGGTGTAAGTGGGTGGTAGTGGGCCATTGTCGTCCGAAAGGACGGCACTCAACAATTGTGGAGAGGATGACAGGTGAGACTATAAGCTTTTTAAAGTAAATAATCAGCGCGAACTTATTTTTTATAATTTTCTGTTCATTGAGCCCTTCTCAAATAGTACGCCTATGGAATCTTGTCCCCTGTACTCCTCACCTCCCTTATTAGCCTAAGTGCTATGAATCACTACGCATTATTATGGTGCACGGGTATAGTAAAACGCTAAAATATCCCTTAGATAAGATGAAATAGTGGAGAAAAGATAAAGCTTTATAATGAAAAGCAACAATCTGTTAAGGTTAAAGTTAACGACATTGCCAAAGAAATTAGTAATAATAATTTTCAAATAGGCAAGGCAAAAGTGCAGTTAATTTAACAAAGTGACTGGTATCGAAAACTGTGTCGAAAACCAAAGGTAATCAGCAAAGTTTTCTATTATTATTTATTCATGCTATAAAAACGCTAAACAATATTTACACAGTTTTTATATCTAATTGATCTTGATTTCTTCTTACTATTTTGTATGTATCAACCTTGTTCAGATTTTTATTATTTTCTCTTGTTAGAATAATGCAATAAAATTCTTTTGAAAACCTATTTCTACTATAAAACCAAAAAAACGCAGTCATGCTATAAATCACAAAATTAAATTGCAATTTTAACAATTACGGAGAAATGTTTGAAAAGGAGTCACAGATGTAAGAATTACGCTTTAAGACAGGGGTTACCTCCTATCTAGGACACTGGTAAGTATAATGTAGAATTTGTAACATGGTTTTGCGAGTATTAAATGTAGGGATTACTGTATTTATATTTGTGAAATCGTGGAAGTCGTACATTTCCGGACCAAAATTTAAGCAAATTTGTTTAGTTTTATGCAAGAAAAGTCCTCTTAAATTTGTGCATTTCTTCGCAAATCACCCGGTACTCAAGATCTAATTTTCACAATGGAAAGCAGTCAGGACGCTCGTAAGGAATTGAAACAACATGTGGTCGAACAAGATCTCCGTTTCACTCTTGATGCAATCCATAACAGTTTCCTAAAAAAATTATGCTGCTTTATAGTTTACGTTTTACCATTGAATTGGAATCCAAAACAGCCCCTTCTACTAGTTCTTCTGTTTTATTAGATATCAGGGTATATAGATAAATGTTTTTGATTGAACAGGCAAACCAACACGCATTTTTAATTTATGTTTTGATTAGCCCAACAGATATGTGCCAAATTTGGTTTTTCTAAGTTTAATAAGATCCACTTCTAATTTGTGCAAGGGCCAAATGGGCGGTGACTATTAGACGCCTTCATTATAGCCATCTTTCTCTATCGCACGGATTTCTATGACTTTCTTTATCGCTCTCACGTAACGGCCGATGAACCATGGGGACTTTCCGACCCTGTATATACAACGATACATATTATGTAATCTATCAAAGAGATATCTTGCATTTCTGTTGTTCTAACGTCGCCCTTGACAATGGCCAACATATAAAGTAGCCACACCATATTTTATTAGGATCGTTTCATGAAGTGGCCTCCTTGCGAATGCAATTAACAAATATTAATAAAAAAAAAAAAAGATTTTCTTTAGAAGTAAAACAGACACTGGATTCTGAATCACCCTCGTATTTCAGTTGTAGACAAATAATTACATCGCTTATTTAAATTTACTGTTTAATTATTAAGCGAAAAATACTTACTATTTTGTACCGAATGTGAACTATAGTCATTCTCCAATTAATAGGAGCTTCCGTAGTTTAACTGTTTTCCAATTAAGCAGATGGGATACATCACGATGTCCGGCGGAGTATCTGCAACGAAACGGAAATTTGAATTCATTTACTAAGAGTTTAACACAACTACATATATATTGATACCTTTTTACATATAGATACATATTGCAAAAGCTGCGAGTTAAAGGAAATTTTTCGGATTAGAATTCAGATTGGCAATTTCATTGTAAATTTTGTACTTTTACCTGCGATATATGTACTTAAAGATGCGTTGCAGCAAAAGGCTTTAATTTTACGCTAACTTTATGTCCTTGCGGCCAGAAGGCGTCGAGGACATGGTATATGATAATAAAAATAATGATTGTGACAAATGATCATGATTAAGGTATTCAAACAAATTCAATTTTTTTCAATCTTATCAAATAAAGTCAATGTCCTTATTAAAAAAAAAATTGATTTGTTTGAATTAGTTCAATACCCTTGAAATAGAGTTAAAAATACGTGAACTAATAATAAAACATGTGAATCACACATAACTGTTAAAACAAAATAACTCTGTTTTCTAACGATCTATTACCAAATCATAAAAAAATTGATAGCCGGCCAATTCAATTTATTGCGCCTATCCGTGAAGCTGTGTGTGTATACGGGGTCATCACGCGAAATGTTAGTTTCGACTGTAATTTTTTTTATCTTTAAAAATATCAGAAATAGATAAAGATAATGTAGACGAGTGACAGAGAGAGAAAGAGACAGTTTGGGTACTACCTTTCTCTCTTGCGTAGGCACGTGATTGGATAATGCAACTCCCTCGTGATATTCAAATAAAATTAAGAGAGACAGAGCGGATACCTAAACTATTGCCCTTTCTCTCTATTTTTTAACACGCGGTGCTTCCTCCATGTGGTATAGGTATGCTCTAAACAGGGACATACATATACGACGTATATTATATATATTATTTTTGAAAATGTTCCTATGTAAAAAAACATGCACATGAAAGACAGAAAGAATCAATATTTTCAGTAAAAAGATGAAATATTCTGTTACGATTCATGATCAATCTTAATCATGAGGATTTTAATTACTGAGAAGCACAGTTCAGCAATCAGTCAATCAATCTTTATTCATCCAGTTGATCATACAATGATATAAAATATGTCAAAAAAATTTTACAGACATTTTTTTTAATCTTATTGTCAGAATTAGTAACCAACCTTACGTTTGTAAACTTTCCATTTAGTGCAACAATGGCAGCCATAAAACCTAATTCGGTATTAATTTTTTCCCCTACTTTCTTTTCAACTCAACATTTACTATTCACGCGACTGAAAGCTGAGCTAATGATATATGTAACATAAAAAATAAAACAACTAATTGTAAGCAATAAATACGTCAAAATTATAGTTGAAATACATCAAACGGTTATTTTTAGTGTATTTTAAACGTCGACATTTATATTTCTGTTTTTATGGCAATATAAGCAAACAACTTAACTAGCTGTAAAAAGTAACTTAAAATAACACTAAAATTATTTTAACTATTTAATAAAACTGTTTGTTATTAATTTATTTACTTTATCTCTTATACATTTCCCTTTCCTTATTAATATACGCAAGATCTTTGATGTTACGCCAGGTAGATACAAGGTTACAGGCAATTTCAGTTAAATAACAAAACTTGTAGTTTTCCGTTTATATTAAAGTCAAGCATCATGCAAGTAAATCCTTTTTATAATTCATTAATGTATATTTTAATAAACAGGTAAGTAGTAAGTGTTTACAAGTAGGTACATGAGTGTGGGTGAGCTATAACCTGAGTATGTTACATCTTAATTGTCACTACTACTCGAAACAGCGTTGCTTTGTACCTACTGGCATAGAGCAACCTCCTAATCTGTAGGCACTACGAAAGTAGTATCGCACTAGTTAAAATAAAGTTTTTAATCAATAATATCTTGGGAACCAACTACTCTATCGACTACAGCCCCGTCCAACAATGAATTATATCCACAATAACTAAGATCTTCGTCAGCAAAAACATCTTACAAAAAAAATCGATAAAAAACAAAACGGCACAAATATCTCCAATGCCATTAGAGATAGGTATAGCGAATCTATACACAGTTTGAAGGAGTTTTAAATGTCCTAACTTACTAAGAAAAAATATACTGGGTGTCCCATTTAAAATAACCAAGTTATTGCTGTTTAAAGTTGGGAAAAGTATCCAGCAGTTTTTTGAATACCATGTACAATACTAAGTGACGACAAACATAATAATTGATAACTTCAAGGATCTAAAATACACTCTCCAAAGCTGCTTTCTTAAAATTATTTTTTATTGCAAATATTAAATTTCTACGCTAAACCTGCATTTTCACTAAAATTGAAATATCTCACAAACAATAAGTCCTATAGGTATGCAGAACCTTTAATAAAGTTTACCTATTTTTTACAGTGCTTTCAAAAATGCAGTAAAATACAGGGTGTTTCATTTAAAAATACATAACTTTGATATGGTACGCTTTTCCTGGACACAATTTCAAAATATTTTTAAATTGTAGCCGTAATAACCTACACATACCCACCTAAACAGGTTTCTATAGCATTTGCCGTTTAGTCCCTAGCGACCGAGGCGTTATGGTGGCCTACCCTATATAGGCAGAACTATAGAAGACTTAAAACACATCGAAAAAGTGACATAAGCGGGCCTCAGAGAGACATACGCGTGACGCAAATACCTTTCTGCTCGGTTCCATGCCACTGATGTAATTATATGCTACGCTAAAGGTTCCTATAGACGCTCCATCTTACCTTGATACTTACTTTTACACTTACCTTGATACTTACCTTGATTCTTACCTTGATACTTGCCTTCGAGCCAGATGTTTGTACTGTACACGCAAGAAAAGTCTTAATATTTAATATCCACACGGTCCGTCTTGCTTTGAGAACTGTATAGGCAAATATTAAGGTAAGATGGAGCGTCTATATGAGCCTTAACAAATTAGTGAAAATGACGGCTGCTGTTTGCCCACAAATTTTGACGTTTGTAGGCCATCAGAATCCAGGGGATCTTGCGGTCGACATAATTAAATCAGATAAATTACTTACGCATTTATTATTATTTTACCCTATTATAATGACGCTTTCACACTTGCCGGGTTCAGTCGTCCGGTTTCATTGAAAAGAACAGGACGTGTCAATAATTTTTTTAAATATTTGTACGCAACTATGTCGAATGTTTGTTCGCTAGCAGTAGATACAGCATTTTTTATATCACTGCTTGAATCCAGACCTGTCCAGTGGGACAAAACTTTAGCCTTTTCATATTTTTTGGATATTTTTCATATTTTTTGTTTTTTTTTATTGCGACGACATCGCAATAGCCAAGCCACATAATTGCAATGCGTCTACGATTCATCTCTTGTTGTGATAAAAATGCAACTGAGACTAATATCGGCCAAACCGGTTTGAAAATTAAATTACGTGTGAAAGAGCCAGCCGGATCCGGATAGCCGGTCCGGCGGCAAGTGTGCAACGAGGCTTACAGTGTAAGCACAGAATATAAGCACAATTCTGTGGTGTAAGCAACGAATTGCCTTTTTCGATCTAACTTGCCCTAAAACTGTGGGCAACGTCAACAATGAAACGGACTCTCTTGTACTGTATAGCCATAAGAGTAATGTATAGCTATCTAAAATCTATATATCTGTTATAAATGTATGCACAAAGCGTTAGTTACAATTACCGCATTCGCATAGTAGCTGGGCGAAAGGCACATGTTTTCACAACTCAAATTAATACACGAAAAAATGGACAGGCATTATTCTGATTTTCATAATATTGCAGTAGAAAATAAGACAATACTAGTAGTGACCACATGCGACAGTAAATAAATAAGTAAATAAATAAATAAATATCCTGTTTTCAACGATTGTTTATTTTGTTCAAGGCTCCATAGTTAGTAAAACAATATCTGCTTTCAAACTGATAAAAAAATTAACTTTGGAGGCGCATTAGGGACAGATTAGATTTTTGCGTTTCAATAACTATAACATTTTTATTTTGTCCTGCCCCCACCACTTTTTACTCGAGAGTTTTATACTCTCGAACTGTTCCCACACTAAGTGAAATTATAATTTTTTAATGTTTCATAAACAAGATTATTTACAGCCAAGGATTATTTCATTGTGGTTTTATTTGTGCTACTGTACCTTAATAAGTGAAATTTATATTTGGCGTTGCTGGTGGCGTTATGGTGCAATGAGATCATGATTTCAAGCGTTTTTCTAATCACTGATTACTCAAGCCAGTTTAAAATTTCGAATACCGCTTTCTAGAGATTTGTCTTGATATGAGAGTCCAAATACGAACTGATCCGGAAATTCTGACTTTAGATTCGGACTCAACGGGTCAAAGTGCAAGTGGGATATAGTGGTCTGGACCAACCAACTTTTTTTGTGGCGCTGTTATTTAAACATTTTTTTTTCTATAATTATAACTTTTAGGAGGTCACTGTCCTTAATTTAATTAATGCTCTTAATGACCAAAATACCTATTAGTTGGCAACAAGACAATTTTTTAGGGAAAAACTATATGAGATTCCCATTCTGAATAAAACAGGCAGCGGAATGTATTTCAAGAGAAATTTTTAGAAGATAGTAAAGAGGTATCTATTCTTGCACAAGATTGCAAAACATGCTTAAAAAATTAATTATTATTTTTCAGAAAATAGTGACACTGAATCTAAGAATTAATTGTAGTGACAGAAATTTATGATAACACTATCGACAAATTCAAGTTAGGTGTTTTTTTATTACTATTTAAATTAATCCATAAATAAATGTGTGGCTGTATTTTTTTTCCACAAAAACCGTATTATTTGGTTTCCTCATAAATCTGTCTTAAAATACTTATTTATACATTAGAAGTGCTAAAAATTCAGCTGATTTATTTTTGCATTATCTATTTTAGTATTTACATACGTTCTCCTTAATTGACGTCTGGAAATTTTTAATGAGTCATAAATTACTTGAAAATGCATAACTCCATTTTATTTTAAGACAGATTTCTTCT